CTTAACTGTCTGTCTCAGATGTGGCCCAGAGATCAGCGTGGAAAGGCTTGCAGCCCCCCGGGGAAGAACACGCCCAGAGGCTGTGACTGACCCTGGGCCACACATGAAGCTAGTGACAAAGCCGGTGTTAACTGAGGAGTTCCTGGTTTCCACTGGTCTTTGTGAGCCATGTATCTTGGTCGGCCCCCTCCCGGCCGGAGGGCACTCTGCCTCTGTTTCCCTCTCTCGGGCTGCTTGTGAACGGCGCACTGGCTACTTGCTGGGGCTGGTGTAATACCAGGGACTGTCCAAACGGTCCTCAGGGGCCCAAATCCATCCCCACCCCCTGAAAGCTCAAACCTAGCTCTGGCATTGTCTTCCACAACCGGAACCCGGCCCAAGCCCCGTCTGGGTTCCCTCTGGAGAGGAGCCTCCTGCTCGCCTGGCACGGGCCTCCAGAGGCCCCTGAGGGCAGCGGTCTCTGTGCCGTTTCATGCGCTTGCTTTCCTGCCTTTCCCAGTGCTTTCCTGCTGCTCTTTGGAGGGCAATCACCTAATCTCTCCCAGGTGTGGGGCCACAGTAATTAGGGTTGGCTGGCCCCACGCCTTCCAGCCCCCAGGGCAAGCCACCCTGCTAGTATTTGCTAGGCCTTTGTAGTCCATGCAGCCTGCACTCTTCACCTTTGCGTAAGGGGGATTGTCATGCATGTGCCCTCAGGAAGGGGAAACCCAGCATTGCCGTTAAACCCTAAAGCTAGGAACAGGCTTGCGTCATGTTTCCCTGCTTGGTTTGCTGCCTTCCTTTTTTCTTACTTTTCTGCTTGCTCCCTTTCCTTCCTCTGTCACCGTAGGGGGGCTTTGGGGGGAGGGGGTGGTCCTGACCTTTGAAAAATGTGTTGTAGTGAGAGAGCCTATCAGGATCCTCCACCATACATAGAAAGGAGGACACCTTTCCCAGAAGGCAGTGCAGGAGGGAGCCCTCAAATGCAAGACCTCAGCACTCTCACAAACTAGGGGGGTTCCCTCTCTTCTTTGTACAGAGCACGTTGCTAATAGGGCTTCCTTCCATAGCCACATCTGGTCCTTCGTAACGTCCGTGCCGGAGCACGGCTGGGAGAACTCATGTTTGGGCTAGCGAGGTAATGCCCTCCACGCTCATCGAGCACTTGTTAGCATGACATACTTTATGGGAAAGTGTTTCTCTGTTACTGGACGATCTGCCCTTTCCCCGTGGGATTCAAGACATTGGATATAGTTTAGCATACTGTTTGCTTGAGCTGCATGACGCAGTTGGGAAGTGCACTTAAATTAAAGTAGATTTGCCCCCACTTATGTGCCAATCCAATAAATGAGAAGCGTGCGCGCACACGTACACACACACACACACACACACACACACACAATATTTCACTAACACACTCTGGTCTTCATCAAAGTCAGGAGTAAGTAAGTGTCCCCTGCGTGCTGGTCTTGTGGGTTTCTGTCATGCTCTGTATAGAGAATGTCTCTTCCCACCTCATCCAATGAAAAGCAGCCCAGAGCTGTCAGCGAGCCCTTTCCTGGTGCAGCTGAACCTTCTGGCTCTTGAGCCACGGTCTGTTACTTCGTTGGGGTGAAAGCAGAACACGAGGGGGAGAACACACTGGCAGGACATGTAGGTTCAAGCTTCCTGCATGAATTTAGACAGAAAAGGGGAAAGAGCTAAAATTAAAGCCAGGTGCAGGGGTGGGTGGGAGTTCCTCCCCTTACTACCCTGCCTGCTTTGAGTCCCGCTCCAGAGATCTCCCACAACTTGCTAGTGTTTTAGTGCCACTGACTAGCTCAGCACAGGCTCTAGGAAGGGTGATCGGATGATTCTCATCTCCTTGTGCCAGAACCCTTCAGTCTTGTATGGCCGGGAAAGCACAGTCGGTGAGAACTGCTGGAGTTTTTGGTGCACGTTGCCGTACGAGGCTCCGGGCCCCCCTGGAGTTTTTGGTGCACGTTGCCGTACGAGGCTCCGGGCCCCCCTTAAGGGAAGAGGAGGGGCAGAGAGGAAGAATGAATGGGCCTGGCTGCTCTAGGATGTGAACCTCCTTTGTCCTTCGCCCAGATTTGAGTGGACAGACTATTGAGCGTTACCAGGAATACTTACGCTGCCAGCGGCTATAGGTGGGACCTCGGCTTTCCCAGCTGGGGAGCGGGGCCCAGTGATGTGTGTTCGAATGGGCTTTTCCGTGCGAATGCATCACACAGCCACGCGCTCTGTACTTGAGCGGTAGCCTCGTGCGGCGCTCCGCGGGGAAGGGGAGCAGCTCCCTTCTCTCAGGGTCTCCCTCGTGGTGTTGGAAGACACGTGATAATGGTGTGGCCACCGTGGAGTGAGTTGTGTTCGTCAGAGGAGCCTCCGCAGCTGCACTCTAACGGGGGCCGGAGCTGCAGTACCCACAGATAGTCCTTACATTCCACTGGGTAATGTCAGGGTACCGTAACGTGTAGCTCGCAGGGCCTGCTGTCTTGGCTCTCTGCCCAGGCACGTGCAATCTGGGCTTCCAGAGGAAATGTAGCGGGCAGAATGACTTCTGGGGGAGGTGTTTCCCTGGGCAGAGCCAGCAGGTGTACGTTTATAGACCCATTCCAGTGGGGGCAGCCACCACTGTTCACCTCTTTGTTAAGCCTGCAGTAGGTGGGCCGGCGTAACATTTTCCCCTTGTAATCGTCTGCCATCCATTGCTTTGAACTGCAAGGTCGAGCTCTTTCCGGCGGCTTTCGAACGCGGTGGTGAGAGTTCCCTGTTTTCTTTTCCCTTCCAGACACCCTCGAGTGCACCTCAGGACAGGGCTGGTGGACGCCCATCTCTACTGCCTGAAGAAATACGTGGTGGACTTCCTTGCAGAAAATCGGTAAGAGCGGGGAGAGGGCGGCGGTGAGGCCAGATGTTGAATGTGATCCGTAGCTCGCTATCTGCAGGGTTTTCTTAGACCCCCTCTTGCGTCTATTTCTAAAACCAAGCAACTCGTCTGCCCACTTAGTGGTGTTCACAAATCTCTGATTTCTGACTCCAGCCATTGGTTTAAAGCCTGCATCAGCCAAATGGAAAAGCAGAGCCATTTGCCTTAGTTCTGATCATCTTACCTTGTCGCTTGCTTCTACCTACATTGCTGGGCAATTGGTTTCTTCCAGGGTTCCCCCACTGGGTAGAGATGTGAGTACATTTCACGCCTATTTCTTTTTCCCCAGCACACACTCAGCACTCACCTTTCTCTCCCCCTCCCCACCCATTCCCTCTAGGCGGGCAGTCTCTGTAGCATCCTATGTGCTTCGTTTGTGTTGTTCCCATGTGGATACTCCCAGACCACCCACCAAGGGTAAGAAAAACATCCATTTATGGAAGAGGAGTGGGATCCTGCTAGAACATTTCATGAAACAGGAAAAAAATCACCGTGTTTACCTTAAGCCAAGCACGGCGCGTAGTCCGGCCTGGGGATGTTAGATTGGGGGCACTTGCCGGGCCACTACAGAGAGGGAATGTTCACTGAGTTCTCCAATCTATTTTCCCCCTTTGAGGTGAGATGGAGGCTAAAGGTCATGGCTAGTAGGTGATTTCACAGCCATATTTCTTAGCAGAGAAACTGCCAGGAGAGAGAACAGTGGGGAAGGAAGGAAGGAATTTCTAGTGGCCTTGAGAGCAAAGGAAGGCACAAATACAGGCTCTCAGGATGCGCGCACACACACACACACACACACACACGCGCGCGCACACACACACACACACACACACACACACGCACACACACCGCTTGGGCATTTGGTTGTAGGCTCTGCATGTGGGCAGGATCAGGGTGGTATCAAAATGGGAAATCAGTGACCAATCCCCAGGGGACTTCCTCACTGTGGTTGTGGGAGGGATGGAGGGCGCACCATGCTCCGGGCAGAGGGATGGAGGGCGCGCCGTGCTCCCGGCAGGGGGATGGAGGGCGCGCCGGGCGGAGGGATGGAGGGCGCGCCGTGCTCCCGGCAGGGGGATGGAGGGCGCGCCGGGCGGAGGGATGGAGGGCGCGCCGTGCTCCCGGCAGGGGGATGGAGGGCGCGCCGGGCGGAGGGATGGAGGGCGCGCCGTGCTCCCGGCAGGGGGATGGAGGGCGCGCCGGGCGGAGGGATGGAGGGCGCGCCGTGCTCCCGGCAGGGGGATGGAGGGCGCGCCGGGCGGAGGGATGGAGGGCGCGCCGTGCTCCCGGCAGGGGGATGGAGGGCGCGCCGGGCGGAGGGATGGAGGGCGCGCCGTGCTCCCGGCAGGGGGATGGAGGGCGCGCCGGGCGGAGGGATGGAGGGCGCGCCGTGCTCCCGGCAGGGGGATGGAGGGCGCGCCGGGCGGAGGGATGGAGGGCGCGCCGTGCTCCCGGCAGGGGGATGGAGGGCGCGCCGGGCGGAGGGATGGAGGGCGCGCCGTGCTCCCGGCAGGGGGATGGAGGGCGCGCCGGGCGGAGGGATGGAGGGCGCGCCGTGCTCCCGGCAGGGGGATGGAGGGCGCGCCGGGCGGAGGGATGGAGGGCGCGCCGTGCTCCCGGCAGGGGGATGGAGGGCGCGCCGGGCGGAGGGATGGAGGGCGCGCCGTGCTCCCGGCAGGGGGATGGAGGGCGCGCCGGGCGGAGGGATGGAGGGCGCGCCGTGCTCCCGGCAGGGGGATGGAGGGCGCGCCGGGCGGAGGGATGGAGGGCGCGCCGTGCTCCCGGCAGGGGGATGGAGGGCGCGCCGGGCGGAGGGATGGAGGGCGCGCCGTGCTCCCGGCAGGGGGATGGAGGGCGCGCCGGGCGGAGGGATGGAGGGCGCGCCGTGCTCCCGGCAGGGGGATGGAGGGCGCGCCGGGCGGAGGGATGGAGGGCGCGCCGTGCTCCCGGCAGGGGGATGGAGGGCGCGCCGGGCGGAGGGATGGAGGGCGCGCCGTGCTCCCGGCAGGGGGATGGAGGGCGCGCCGGGCGGAGGGATGGAGGGCGCGCCGTGCTCCCGGCAGGGGGATGGAGGGCGCGCCGGGCGGAGGGATGGAGGGCGCGCCGTGCTCCCGGCAGGGGGATGGAGGGCGCGCCGGGCGGAGGGATGGAGGGCGCGCCGTGCTCCGGGCGGGGGGATGGAGGGCACACCACGCTGCAGACAGCACGGAGGGTCACCTGCCTTTGGCCCTGCCCCTTCTGGGGGAGTGGAGCTGGCCCCTCCCCACATTGCCCAGGGGCCCGCGGAGGCTGTTGCCCTGTAGTGCCCACATCTCTTAAATTAGGTCCAAGCCCTGTACGTTATAATTGACCTCTTGGGTTCGTGTCTCTTGCCGCTGAGCGAACGTGTTCAGGGCTCGATGGCGCTGCTCCGATGGCCAGTCACAGGTGGCTGCTCGTTTCTGTGTATTCAGCTACATGTTTATTATTCAAGCGAAAGCCAACCGCGAGGGAGCCAGTCACGGCGCAGCATTGCCATGCTTGGAAAATGGGATTCCTGCCATAATGAATAACGCTGGTTTTCAGGCTTCCGGCCCCGGTGGGCATTCTCGGCCTGTTTGTCTTTCCGGGGGGAAGGGACGGACAGTGCATGCTCACAGAGTGGTTCTCCCGGCCTTTTGAAAGACCCGGTGGAGTACTTCCGCCCTGGAAGGGTTGATGGCGAGATGATGGGGCTTTAAAAAACGCTGGTTTCCGGTCTGGAGAAAACGTGTGTGAAGATTTTGCGTCTGTCATTCCGTGCTGGGGCTGGAGAAGCTCAGACGGTGCGTTTGAGTCTGAGCGAGGTGAAAACTAACAGGCGGGCCCGAAGCGAACAGGGAGGCTGTTGTACCGTGCCGGGAAGCGCTGAGACCGTCACTTCCTTGGGAGGGCCGTATTTATGCTGGGTCGCGTTTGAACCTGGCGGTGTGACGGCAGGAATCACTTGTCCCTTTTCGTCGCTGCGGGCCCCGCATTTGTTTCCAGTGTGTATTTACAGGCCAGAGCAGAAAACAGCTTGCTGGGCAGTTAACCCCTTGGCTCCCGGGGCTCGCTGTGGCTCAGCCTGTCACAGAAGCACTAAACAAAATATGATGAGCACAGATTGACATTTATTATTCCTGAGCTAAAGAAATCCTCCTTGCCTGAGGATGTTGTGAGCCCAGGACTTGAAGGCTATGTCTATGCAACAGTGTCATATCAGAATAACTGACATGTCAGTCTTCTCCCCTCAAAAAAAAAAATCCCCCAGGCTCTCTGGGTCTGAATCTGTCTTGATGGCTTATTTGATCTCCCAAAGAGTTCATGCCCTCCTTTTTAGGGAAGTGAATGTGTACCCATTTACATGAACCAACGAGTCTGGGTTCAGCGATTAATCTTAACGGTTATGTGAAGCCCCCTTCCTCTGATGCAGACGCAGCCGCGCAGGGAGGGAAGCAGCAGGCAGGAGCCAGGGTGCGTGGGGAGTGGCAGAACGCCGATGGGCCAGAAATGTTTACATTCTGAATTTGAATATGAACTATGAAATCATGGCGCCATTGAAGTCAGCGGAAAGCTTCCATAGACTTTAAGGAGGCCATGGCTTCATTTGGAATGTGTTGGAAAGGGCAAACGTTAGTCAGCTGTTTCAGCTAACCAGTGATAGACCATGCTCACCAGGCTGAACAGTGTGTAGGCAAAATGGTGCTAAGGGAAGAGAATGACTGGCAGGTTGAGGGATCTGCCTGCCCCTCCAGACAGCAAAAAGGCCTGATCCGCGCACACAGCCGCAGCCGCTCAGTTCAAGGTGTGAGTTTTAAACTGTGGGGCAGCTGTGGGGGGCACGTAAATCAGTTAGAACCTGGCCCTGCCCCAGCGGGGGGACATGCGCCCCTCCCCTGGCTGTGCCCGCTGGAGTTGCAGTGGTCGCAGAGAGGCGCTTCTGCGGTGAGAGGGCTGGGGCCGTCCTCTGTCCACGGGACAGCCTCCGCGCCGACCCCTCCTCCCCAGCCCCGCCCCAGGGCAATGGCTGAAATGAAGAAAAGCAATGTTGAGTTAAGGGCCGAGCAAGGGGCAGGTGAATCTCCTGGTGCTGCAATACTTGTCCTTCCGGAGGGCACGCTCCCTTGCTGGAGAAACCCGGGCAGGCGTTCTCAGGGTTTGTTTCTTCACAGAAGGAAAACTGCTTTCTCCCACACAGATCATATATTCTTGGCAGTTAACGTCCATCCGTCCCCCCTCCCCCCGTCCCACACATCTCTCAAACACTATCCCAGTCCGTCTGTCAGCATTTAACAGTCCGACCCTGCCCTGATGCCGGGCACACACGCGACACTTGGAGGCCAAACGTGCTGAATTCCTGGGGGGGCTACCTGTAAACCTAAGCAACAAAAAACATTTTGGTCTAAAATGTATCCTGGACGTGGCTGTTCCGAGGTATTTTCCTTGCTGGGCCCTCTGCGCCCTCTGCCTCGGAGAGGCCTGAGCTAACGGGACTGCCTGGGTATTGGTGCCAGGTGAGCCAAAAGACTAGCACTACATCCCAAGCAGGATCCCTAGCTCCTGGTAGCCATGGGACTCCAGAGCAGCCCTGGCTTCTCTATGCAGGGTCCTGGATGTGCACCAGCCAGAAGGGGATTCCTTTTTTTTTTTTTTTTTTTAAAGCTTCCTTTATCGGGCGAAGGATACCATGAGGGGCAAATTGGTAGTGCTGGGAGACCCTCTGTGTGTGGCCATAGTTCACGCAGGAGCCATCCTGCCCGCGTGGGGCTGGCTGGCTCTGGGGAACACCTGCACCTCGTGGAGACAGGCACGAGATTGCTTCTCCTGCAGGGATCAGCCCGCAGCCCAGGCCAGCAAGCTGCAGTCAGCTGGAGAGACTGGAGCTGGCTGGGGGCATGGTCACCCCCCCCAGCTGGCAGCCCTCACACCCTTGGGGCCCTGTGGTGCTGGCTAGC